TCTATGAAATTCATAAATATTTTATTAATATTTATTGAAATGTTATAAAGAAGTAGAATGTCTTTTGACATATAGGTAGTGGTTGTTTTGAAAAAAATAGAAAATATATTTTTATGCAAGGTTTATCCCTTTTACCTTTTTTACTTTAACATTCATTGCCGCATAAGTCTTTAAAAAATTGTTTCGGGCTGGACCGTATTTCTACATATGCGGTCTAGAAAGTGCAAGCAAGCATCCATCTTAAAGATGGATGTAAGTAGGTGTTCCATCTCAAAACGATGGAAACTAACCGTTCAAATATTTTCTTACTAAAATTATTATGTCTACTTTTTTTAAATTTATTAATTTTTTCATATTCATATTGACCATGTTAAAGATTACGTATCCTTAAAAAATGACTTCTTAAAATCCATCTCAAAAATAGATTTAGTAAGAGGCCCGCATTTCTACATATGCGGGCTTGGGCACATAGAAACAGGGTCCTAAGTCTCCCCCGTCCAGCCAAAGTCCCCAATGGGATGGGAAAGGTTTCTATAATGTCTTCCCTTAGTAACATAGTAGATTTTAATTTTTATTTATTTATTTTTATATTTTTCCAGAGGACCAATTTGGATCTAACCAAATCTAAGTCGAATTACAGATCCAATAATCCTATATCAATCGACCTACGATCTTCCCCATGGACCCAATATTTAAAACAAGGTTCCAGCTCTCTGACCGAGCGAGGACATTGGATGTGACCGTGTGAGTTTTATTATTAGCTCTCAACGGCCGCTGTCTACCCTGGTACACGCGGCGCGGACAAACCACGAATCATCCCAACCCCAAATTTAACCCTCTGCGTCCAAATTTAGTTAGCCGCGTTCCTCCAAATTTAGCCTCTAAACCCCAACCCTATCCCATTAATAAGAAGCCCTTTGCACTTCCTCTCATTCATTTGGGTCCGTCCCCGATTTCGCTCCCCCTCCTCTGTCTCTGGTTTTCTTCTTCTTCTTTTTCTCTCTGCAGCTGCTTCTGCTCGTTAATGGCGGTGTGAGAAAGCCCCATTTGGATGATAGACCGCGCAGAAGCCATGGATGCTCGTAGAGCGAAGCAGCTGCTACTCCTCTGCCTTGGAACCCTAACGACGCGCGTGGCCCTCGTGGGTGGAAACCACACCGCTGCCAGGTTTTGCACCCGCTAGGCCCTCCCCCTCCGCCTGTAATTTTCTCTCTTCAACAAAACACAGGAAGATCTCTTCCTCGTTGCTCTGTGAATCTCGCTTGCCTGCGAACTTGCTCACCAATTGCTCGATAAATGGACCGTCGCAAAGCATCTTGGGCCAAGAAAGTCGATCCGAACACTGGGCCGACCGATCCAAACCAGCTGATCATAATGCTGCCCAATTCCAGGGTCATGCGTTTGCTTGCCCGATCTGTGTTCTTAGCGATTGCACTTGTATCGTTCCCGTGGCTAGGCTCGCTTGGATCCATGCTTGACGCATCAGCTGCTCGTGCCACGACCCTGAACCCCATCCCGGCACTGTTAATGCCTGAAGGCGATCTGCTCGACGAAATGATTCGAGATCTGATGGAGCAAGGCCTCCTCAAACCCTCCGATAAGACCCTGTGCGTCGGCATCGACTCAGCCAGATCATTAGAAGAACAGGGATTCATGCCCGATCAGATCAACCTAGATGATGAGATCCAACCGGGCATATATGACTTTGTGCTCGCAAGCGAGCATTTTCCAGCATCGATTGTTGATCGTGCCCTCAAGCCTGGTGGCATTGCCGCCGGTCCCCTTGCCGCCCCCTTTCGTGTAGGCCCCAATTTCAAGATTGTGTACCTTCGCAAGTTCCAGGCCACGGCCATTGCCCTAAAAAAGCTGAATGAGCCCTCCTCCACTGCTTCGGTTACCTCAATTACAGGTTGCACACCATCAAAGGCGGCAACAATGCAAAAACTAGAAGAGATCCTTCTGGAACCACCGAGGGAGTCATGGATCAAGGGGGGTGAGTACCTTAACCGTGTGAAATTCCTGCCAAATGTGGCGGCCGATTATCTGAGCGCATATCCCAGGCGCGTATACATTGAAGTGGCGACCCGCTCGAAAGGATTCAGGGACGAAGGTGTGGGCCCCTGGTTTCGCAAGCATTACCCTACAAATGGCCAGGAATTTGATTTTTACAGGGTGGAGAAGGTGAAGGGAGGCAGCTATGCAGCCACCGTCACTTGGACGAGGAGGAGAGCGACAAGGGAGGGCACCGAGGAGGAGGCCGGTGAAGAAGGGCTGAGCGAGTGGGTGAGGCGGAGCGTGAGAGAGGAGGAGTACGTGGTGATGGAGGTTGGGGGGTTCGATGTGGTGAGAGAGATGGTGGAGAGCGGTGCGATATGTCTTGTGGACGAGCTCTTCTTCAAGTGCCCGCACGCTGCGCCTCAAGGCGCCGTGGGCCGGGCCTACTGGGAGTGTATCTCGCTCTATGGCTTGCTCAGAGAGAGAGGGGTCGCCGCACATCAATGGTGGGATTAAAGAGGGGCCATGTTTTTGTGACTCTTTTGTGGTGTCTTGTTCGTGCTTTGTTGAGCCCACTTGGTGCCGGGTTCGGTGGTAGAGTAGTGAGTAGACTAAGTGGGTTCGAGCCTAGTAGCTCACCACTTGAATAAGTGAAAGGCTTGAGAGTCAGTGTCGTTGTTTGTTTGTTTGTAGTGGAGTAGCAAGCCAATTAGGTCAAAGGAGTCACGTACGTTGTCGTTATGTTTGTAGGAGGGGCTTTTAATTGTTTGTTTGTGTGGTGGATGGACCGGATATTCTCAAATTGCGTTGTTACCTTTTTTAATCTTCTACTATATCATTTTAGTGTTATAAACGTGGTGCATGCTTTTATATTCTATTAACTGGATATATCTTAATGCCATTAAGTATTGCGATAAGACTAATCTTGGAAAAGCATGAGTTAAAGCCCATGTGTGATTGCAGTGTTACGGCCAATAAGGGGCCTTATATTTAATGGTAATTTAATACTCGAAAATCATATTCGCCTCCATGATTGGTGCTAGGATTCCAATACACAATGGGGTCCGCCCAAATGCTATAAAATGCATGCTTCATTTACTTTTGGGGATTGTTGTAAGAAAACTTAGTGGGTCACTAGAGTTCTAGACTTTTTTTTGGAAAATAATGGATATATTTGTTATATTTATCATTATTATATGATTATTTTCAAATTTCTATTATTACGTCTAACGGTAAATATAAAAAATATGTAAGTTATTTTCTTTTTTTTGATGAGGTAATTCAGTAGGGAAGACTGTTTTTTCAAATAGTTTAATAATTAGTTTTGCAAAATATTAGTAACGTGGTATCAATGAGCATAAAAACCGTGACATGATGACTAACGCGTGGGTTGCTAAAGGTTTAGAACTTAGAAAGGGGTGGGTTGAGTTTTGAGTTTTCTTTTTTTGTAAAGTACGGATAATTCAGTAGAAATTTGGAACCCTACCACCAGAAGCATGTGTTTTGAGTTGTGACCGCTCCGTGTGACTAGTGAAAACGCGTATCCATAAAGGTCACCTTTTTTGGCAATTTTTTTATTGTTTTCTAACTGTAACTTTTGGATTTCCTTTTTCTTGCTCTCATGTTTTCCAGAAGTTGAGTTTTTAAGTTTGGGAATTATACTCTATAATTGAAATAAGACGCACCTCAAACCAAAGATGCGGTTTCAGTGTTCAAAAGCTCTACCGATGGCTTTAAAATCTATGGTTATTCTTAATTATGAAATTTAAAGTTTCAAAAATAATATGCATAGAGACGATTTATAAATATTTAAAAATTATAAAAATGGACGGTCCAAATAATGCCTTAAAAGATGTATCATGAAACTTGACTTTTTGTGCATCGAAATAATATTTTCAGATGGGTATGTAAGGTACATTTCACGTCAATAGTATAAGGTTAATACCTTTTTGTAAACCATTTGCTTCACCTTCACATTGCCTAAGGTACAGGATGTCGCCGTGTATAATTCTTAAAAATATATAAGAAGAGTGATTTACACGTAAGAGGACGCAATCCTACATTTATGTCTCAAAAATTAATGATCTCCATCTTAGGGATCATATCCAAAAAATTAGAACTACAATCTATCTCTGAAATAGATCATGACGGGGGGTGCATTTCTATATTATGAGTCTGAGGACTCACACATTCTGCATTGACATTTTTTAACTAGTCTCTGTCAGCTGCCTCTGTGCTTATTGTGAAAGGGAAGTTGTTTAGGAATAGTTGTGAGTAGCTAGGGCTCAGGTTGAGGGACTGTAAAAATCTTGCCCTGAGTGGCACTAAGTGGTTAGTGGGGTTTCTAAGTTCGTTGGTAATGTAGGATCATCAAGGTTCAAAGTCTGGCCATGTTTTGGAAGTGTTGGTTGATCTTTCTTTCTCTTTATATTTGTAATTTGGACCTTGCCTTGTTTATCACTGATAAGTGATAACTTACTATTAACATTCAAAAAAAAGGAAAATTTTATATAAGGTTGATGCCCTGAACAATCAAATTAAGGCCCACCTTAAAAATTTATTAGAAAAAGTTGTTTAGATTTAAAAAAGCCCTCAAATCCGATCATTTCGACCTTGAGATACATGAACGTAAAAAAAAAAAACGCTTCAAGTCTTGGAAATGGTGCATCATGTAATGCATTATCTAGATCGTTAATTTTCAAGATTTTCAAGTATTTATATTTCTTTTTTATCGACACTATTTTTTAAGCTTTAAATTTTATAATTAGAAATGAAAATAAATTTTTAAGCCATCATGAAATTTTTTTATATTGAAATGATATCTTTCGTTACTATTTAAACATACACCTTATTTTAATTGTTTTGGGCCTCGACTAATACACACCAAACTTGGGAATTCAAAATCTTAAATATATGAATTGGGCCTTCTCTCTAAGTGGTGGTGAAGAATTATTCAAAGTTATGGAAAGATGTCTTAGCAACAAAATAGGGGTTTGATCCTTTCACTCATCTAATTAAAAAAGAGAGAGAAGGTAAATTTTTTTAAAGGGAATTTATAGTTGCAAAAATGTGATGCTCGATAATTCTCGTTGGCTTATTGGTAATGGTAATAAAATTTTCTTCTGGTTTAATAAGTGCCATAGGGATCAGCCCCTATACCTTCTATTTCCAGATTTCTTTAAGAAAGTAAGCTCTCTGGCTGCAAAAATTTTAGATTTATTCTCTCGCTTGCCTCCATATGGAATGCCATGGGGTTCTATTTCCATATCTTTTTACGAGAGTAAGGTCTTTAGCTGCAAAAAGTTTAGATTTATTCTCTCGCACACTTTTGGGTCCATATGGAATGTTGAATGTAACTATAACATAATACTGGACCAAGTCATTTCACAATTTCAAATTTTATTATCTATCTTTCAAGACGTTTATATCTAGCCTACAGGGGAAGACGAGGTTATATGGGAAAGTGAAAGTGACAGGGTCTTTTCTGTTAAATCTCCTTAACAACTACTTTCTATGATCATCTAAGGTGATCCAATGACTATAATGGGCTATCTCTAAGAAGATTAAAGCTTTTCCTTTGGATTGCTGAAATTTTTTTACTATAAACCATCTTTGAAAGAGGGGGAAAATCATTCTTTATGTGTAATGATGAAGAAAATTGTTGCCACCTACTCTTGCATTGCTTATTTGCCTATGTTATTTGGAAGTGGGCTTTCAGTCTTTTAAGTATCACTCTTATCATACCAGCCGATCTTATTTCAATTACTAATCATCTCAACTTCACATCTTTGTTTGAACTATTATTTGAAATATCTTCAGAAGTGATATCGATAGTAGATATCTTCGTTAATTTAAAAGCTTCTAACATTATCTTATGTTCAAAAATAATTTTTATTTTTCACTTGGACTCCTCATACTAAAGTTACTTATTAATTAAATTTTAATGGAAATTCTTTCGAAAATCCTAGGCAAGCTAAAGTAGGTCTTTTTAGAGATCATGAGGGTGCCAGTATCTTCTCTTATGCTAGGGCCATATTCTCTTATGCTAGGGCCATATTCTCTTACGCTGGGCCATATGATTATACTAAGATTAATCAGGCTAAGGTGGTTTCTTTTCTTCAGGGTCTGTAATGTATCTTCTCTTATGTTGGGCCATATTCTTTTACACTGGGCCATATGATTATACTAAGATTAATCAGGCTGAGGTGGTTTTTGTTTTTTCTAAATGTTATCAAATAGTGTAAACAAGAGTAAAAAAATCCCTTAATCTTTTCACATGTCTTGTGGCTAAAAATGTTTGATATTTGTGTTTGTGTTGGTTATAAGCTCGGCATTTTTCTTTCCTCCCTTTCTATTCATGTTTTTCTAAATCGAGCGTTATGTTATCAATATGAACCCCTAAAGATGGTTAAAAATAAATAAGTTATGGGGAGTGGGGACACACAAAACCGTCCCCTAAAGATGTTTGGCGTCCACAAACGTCCAATCGAACAACCACGAGGGAAGGGACACTGATCATTGTTTTACACGTCATTTTTAAGCTGGACGTCATTCTCTACGTTAAACAACTACTCAAACTGATACTTTATTAGAGATTCTTACTGACGTGGGCTTCCAGCTACGTGTGTGCTATCCTAGAGATAGCTCCTTTTATAGCAGAATATTCGTGACACATGGGAATAATTAAAACGTCACGTGCTTTTTTTTTTTATGAACAAGCTTTTTATGCTTCCCTTATAAAGTTATATCTTTCTTTTTATCCAACGGTTTATTTTGGATGGAAAGTTAAGATTGTATCAATCACAATGTTATGTCTTTATATTATTTTATTTTTTATTTTTTTATAAACTATTTTAACATCAAATTTTGAACATCGATTCTTCTGTTAAACTCACACTAGTGAAAATTATATATATATAAAAATTTAATAAAATAAAATAACCAAAATACTTTTGAAAGTTTCAAGGGGTATTTTAGTCATTTAATTTTATCAAAAAATTATTTTTAATATTTTTTATAGATGCGTCTCAATGAGAAGATGGCACGTACAAAATTTCATATTCATACAATTTGTATAAAAAAAACTAAAAGTAAAATACTTTGAGATGTCGAATCTAAGATCAAAAGGTGAGTGGCTCTCTTGATCAAAATTGGACGGTTGGATGGTAGGGAGAGGATAGAAACCTTTACTTTTTTTTATTGTTAAAGCGATGAATTTAAGCGGCGGGAAAGGTTTCTATGCTTCCCCTACAGGAAAGAAGATCTATCCTCCGCTTACCATCCAACCGTCCAATTTTGATCAAGAGAGTCACTCATCGTTTGATCTTAGATCTGACTTCTCAAAGTATTTTATTTTTAGTATTTTTTTACACAAATTGTATGAATATAAAATTTGGTATGTGACATCTTCTCATTGGGGCACACCTATAAAAAATATTAAAGATAATTTTTTGATAAAATATAATGACCAAAATAATGTAGAGACGTGACATTGTGATTGGGGCAATCTTAGCCCTCCATTCGGAATGGACGGTTGGATAAGGGGGAGGATAGAACTTTTATGCTGTAGGGGAAGCATAGAAAGCTTGCCCTTAAGTTGCTATAGGAAAAATCAATTCGGAACGGTTGATCGGTTGAACTGGCATAACCGATCGATTCAACCTGTCTAATCAAACAAGTCTCGGATGGTTAAAAAAAGTGTTAAAAATAAAAAAATAAAAAAATATCTCATAAAAATATGAAAAAATATATTTAAAACATGATTAAACAAAGCACGTCCAAATGAAGTTGAGAATTAATGAAAATTATAGATTTTAAAGAATCAATTTGTGTCAGGGATATTTTTGAAATTTTCTAAAAAAAAATAAGAAAATGT